TGTACTGTATCTTAAAGAGATCTACAGTAGATCTGCTTGTCTTCCCTATAGCAGTTCCCCTTCACTGTCTCATCTCCGTTTCTTTTCTTTCATCAACATTTTTAATTTCTTGCATGGAAATGGTGAAAAGGGGGGAGGGGAACCAGCTAAAAGTGGGGTTGGAAAAGGGAGAAAAGAGGTAGAAAGAATAAAATATGTAAAAGAGGTTTGAAATTGTCTCCTTTGCCTTCTATTCTATTAATAAAAACTAACAAGCAACCTTTTTGTTCTCTGAAAAATTTTTCTATATCTAAAATAAAATGATAGGAACTTTTTGACTATGAGATATTTGGCAAGGATTTGTTTTTAGGGTGAGCCTGCAAATGTTCAGGAGAGTGCTACATGAATGAAGCACAACAGGCTGTACAAGGAAAGCAGCTTTGCACATGGAAAGGAAGCAAAATTAAAAGCCAATAGTGAGCAGCACCACAGAATGACTGAAAATAATGAAGTCAGCCTCCCACCCACCTCCAACTAATCAATCAGATCAGCAATATATACATATTTTCCCAAAGGAAAGAATAGGGAATAATACAACAGAACAGGCTTTCTCCCAAAAATCTACTCCCAGCTTTTCTGGCAGTCTAATGAAGCTACTATCATGCCAACTCCCTTTCTAAGCATTCCTGTCCGCCAAGATCAATCACTTTCTTGACCCTGGTCTGTTGGCAAGTGGGTTGTTAAAGGCTGTGCATAATTTTGCTAGCATGAAGTAGGGAGTCAAGCATATCCAGAATTACATCAGTTTTGTTGGCCCAAAAGGCAGGTGCTGCATACTGAACATGTATTCCAGAATACATTCCTCTTTCATTTAACATGTTAAGGGATCAATCAGAATGGAATGTCAAGCCACAATTTATCATCACTTTTCCTTTTAAATCAAACAGTTTCCATTTTAAAGTGCATTGTAGATAACATGGAAAATGTGTTTTCTGTCATTATTTCTTAAGGCAACATGGCAATTCCACATCCAGTTGTCAAGTTTCACTTCAGAGGGCTACAAGTTTTGCTGTTATAAGAAATTATTCAGCTCAGTTTCTCTGTATACAGTTCTGCACACATGCAAAATCACAATGAGCAAGACACAAATATACCAAAGCAGCATTAGTCCTCAAATGGATTAGGCAAATTCCAGCTTTGTGTCCACAAGGTATCTTGAGCATGAGATATGTCCAGCCTGGAGATGGCCATGCCTATCTCACCCTCTAGTGCCACAAAGGAGCCATCATTCCACACCATACAGCAGTAGTCCCAACCTTGGCTAACCCAGGCATTCTTGGACTGTAATTCCCAGAAGCCTTCACCACCAACTCTGCTTTCTGGGAGCTGCAGTCCAAAAATATACCAGGTTGGGAACCACTGCCACAGGAGTATCCTTGCTACCCTACTTGCGAACAAGGGGAATTGCAATTACACAGGAGTAAATCACAATTTACTATGATTAATTCCAGCACATCACATAAATCTCACTCTCCATGCTTCACGAGCCTTATCACTATGGTGGGGGGGAAGGGATCTTGGCAACCAGTCCTGATTCTAGTAACCCACATCAAAAACCTGGATGGGTGTTTTTAAGGTCCTCATACAGGCTGCTTTGCAGACTCTGTAGTCTTGTTGCTTAATTATACTCCAACTTCTGAAATCCACACAAACATTTAGAAAGTTGGCTATCCCAATCTAGGGTAGTTGTACTCTTATATCTCATGCAGCATGCAACCCCGTTCCTAGTTGCTGTATTATTAAGTAAACAAGTTTATATAATAAGTCGTTGCCAACAACACACTAAATATAACATATCACTTCCCCTTTACAGAGCCCCTTTACATAGGACGAGGCAAAGAGGCAGTCCCGAAACCAGCCAAATCAGGGAGCTGGACAGGTGACAGATTGTATTTGTCTTCAGTGTGGAAGGGGTTGTCACTCTCGAATTGGCCTTCTCAGCCATACTAGACGCTGTTCCAAGACCTCTATTCAGAGTACATTACCACAGTCTCTCAAGACTGAAGTATGCCTACATAACAATACACAGCCATTGCCTAAGCAAAGACTAGGACAGTGTTTCATATTCCTAGAAGCAAACACCAATCTTTTAGGTGCCAGCATTTAGAAAACTGAAATAATATTTCAGATTCCTGCATTGATATCTAATTTTAGAAGCTTGTGCAATGGGTTAGCTGGGATTTTCCCAGATCTGTTGCTGTAGAGCACATACTGAAGGGGAAAAAAGTGGAAAATTAAGAGCACACATAAATTCTCATTCTTGGCTCAAAATTGTCTTTCTTTGTCAGACAATGCAAATTTTGCAGCTGGCTTCAATTAAAACTGGTTCATATCATTAAACATAACACAGCAAATTATTCTCTTATTTGGGTAGCATGACTCCATTGATATTGATGGAAATCATTGTGAGTTGCACAAATTTGAGATTGAAATTAATCCATCACCTCCACAATTTCACCTTCTCCCCAAAAGCTGAACAAAATTCTGTGCCTCACATTTTATATGGCAGTCTCTGATGAAACAGTCAAGAATGTACAGAAATATGCTACGTCCCTAAATTACTTAGTTAATAAAAATATTAAAAGAAGGCTAGTTGATGCAGACAATTCTGAGAGGGCCAGAAATGTATCCAATTTGCATGCTGTTGCCATATGGCTCCAAATATTTACATGCTGCTGCATAGGAAAAGGTTACCTAACTCTGTAATATGACAGCAGGCAAATGACATAGGTGGGGGTCTGACCTTGGGATTTCTAGTACTTAGCTTCTTTTTATTTGACAATTTGCTATGAAGTCATGAGAGGAATGATGTAGGTCACACTGCTCTGAGAACCCCCTCTGCTGGATAAGGAACAGAGTAACTCAAGTCAAACTTTCTCATGATTTGATAAATTCTGCAAACTAACAACAGAAGCCTTGCAAAGAAAGAAAGAAAAAAATAGTTAAATTAGCTCTCTGTCTCTGCTGGCCCAGAACCCTTTCAGAAAAAATTCAATATATACCTAGCATGGACCTACTGCCTCTAGTTCTAATCTGCTACTGCAAATAGCATGTGTTTGTGTGTGTGTGTACACATAACTCTGTGTGTGTGTGTGTGTGTGTGTGTGTGTGTGTGTGTGTGTGTGTGTGTGTGTGTGTGTGTGTGCCCATGTAAGTCAGCACACTGCTCTGTTAATAGATAGCTACAGCAAGGCAGAAAATAACAATACAGTATATATAATGTTATACAGTATATGGGACAAGAAAAACACATTGTCATATGTAATATATGCAAGTACCATAGAAATTATAAACAGAATTGTAACAATTAATATAACAGGATAATTCTGTAAGAGATCACAGTATTATCTATATTATGGAATTCTTCTATATTATAGAATTATATAATCATTATAGACCCACTGTGGTAGAGGATAAAGTGTCCAGTTTGGGGTCAGAAGACCTGGGTTCAAATCCCCACTTGGCCACAAAAGCTCATTATGGATACATAGATACACAGACTTAATAAAATGGAAGAGAACAGCATGGTCCTGAAATGACACAGTTAATATTGTAGAATTATACTATACAGTATATTGTGGTCTATCTGTTTTGCTAATCTCATCATGCAGATAAATATGACACAGCCCAGACTATGCTTTTAAAAAAAGTCAAACTGAACATGTGCCTTCATCTCTGCTTTCTATGCAATGAGCCTCTTAAATGGTTTGATACTGTACATAATACAGCATGCACACAAAGAGTCTTTAAATGCACTTTTCATATTGCACTAGGTTTGGATTTTGTCTTGTTACTCTACACTGACAAATCACAAATCCTAAATGTTCACAACTAGATGAGGCTGCTAAATACATAATCACACCACACACAACCAGGGTACTCCTTTTCTTTTGTCAAATGTTTGCTTGTTTATTGCAGTCTGACTCTGAATTTTTGCTGAATAAGGAGACAGCAGGGAAAAAATATATTTAAAAAAATTTAAATTGTGCAAAACCATCTCTTCCTTTTGTACATCTACTGCAAATCAAACAATCCACTTCAAATAACAGTGTGTACTTGGAACATTTCAGAAAATCATCAGTGTAACTTAAGTGATTTAAGTATAGAACCCATGTAAGTCAACACACAGCTCTGTTAATAGATAGCTACAGCAAGGAAGAAAATAACAATGCCTCCAGCTTATTATATAAGCATTTTGTATCCCATAAACCCAAATTGTCCTGCACTACTAAAGAGTTTTGTGACAAAAGAAATACAAAGTTGGGCAGGAGTTACAGTACACAGCACAGCAGTATCTGGACTGCTGAGTATTTATTAGCAGGCAGGCACAAATGAGCCAAGTGGATTCTGAAACTCACTGAAGTAGAACAGCAGCATCAATGTGTTTGTTTATAGGGGTCAGTAAAGTTCATGTCAGGAAAGACAGCAACAAATTGTTGTGCTTTTTAAAAACAAACTCTAACCTGAAGGACATGTTCTGTTTAGCTTACTAGAAACTATCTTCCTGTGAACTTTGTATGTATGCCCACACTTTGAACAAACAGTAAAAGGTCTTCTAATAGTTAATGGTAAGAGGCTGATGATTACAATTTGCAATCCTAACTCAAGAGTCTATAAGCATGATTATGACTTAAGAGGTTCAAAATAAAATATGAACAACTAATACTTAGAATCTGGACTTCACTGGGACTTGAATCTCAGAAAAGGAGGATGGAAAAGAATTAATAAAGCATCCAAAATCCTAAGAGCAGAGAGGAGGCTACAACTACGGATACAGAAAGCAAAAGCTGAGTTCCCTTAAGCATCCTCAAAGAAAAGGAAATGTAGATCCCATCTTTGCGTCTCCGGCATGTCATCAGGAGATGGACCACATGCCGCCGGGAGCTAGAAGCATGACAGAGGATCCCCTTCCACCTAGGGCTACAGCATCCCCAACAGCACTAGCCCTTCTGCGTCCTTACCACTCTCCCTGAAAACCTCTCGATGGCCCGCTTGACTTTGCCATAGGTCCCCTTGCCCAGCGTCTCTTGTAGCTCATAGCGATGCTTCAGGTTGTGCTTGTGATGGTGCCTCTTGACACCATGCTGCTGCTGCTGCTTCTGCTGCTTCTTCAGTTCCTGCGGGGTTGCAGCGACGAAGGGAGTCGAGGTAGCTGTGCCCTCGGAGGCGGGAGGCGGCTGCCCCGTAGGCTCTGCCATGGTGGCTGCTTGGGCTGAGGGGCTGATCGCTTTCTCCTCGCCTGCTGCCTCACTAACGGTCCTGTTAGGAGTCGAGGCTGCGGGTGCTGCTGCCGCCGCCGCCGCCAGGCAGCCTTGCTGAGGGGCTCCTGCGCTGCGGCTGCCATCCAGCTCGGTCCCATCCATCTCCGGCCAGCCCAGAGGGTCCGCTGGGGAGGCACTTCTGGCAGCGCGGGAGGAGCTTCGGGGACCCCTCCCTTCAAGCGTGCATCACCAAGGCCAGCCCCAGCCCCATTTTGGGAAAGGGGGGAAGCGGGTTGGGGTGGGGAGGCCACCGCGGAGCCCCTCAGCTTGCCTCCTCCTCCTCCTCTTCCCCTCCCCTCCTGCCCGGGCGGCGAAAATCCATTTGGCAATCACTGAGGCGGGAACTGGGAGCAGGCGAAGGCCGGGCGGGGAGGGGGGGATGGACTGGGGGGTGGCGGCGGCGAGTCTAAAAGGGGCGAGAGGAAGAGGGAGAAAAAGCGGACCCCTCGCCTCGGTCCTTGCGCTCCCTTTCCCTCCCCCCGGCTCTTCCCTTCCCCCGCTGTCAAGGCGACAACAAGCGGGGGTGGGGAGGGAGAGAGAAGGGCGAGCCCTTCNATAAGCTAAGCGCAGAAGTTCCCCTCTAGCTGCCAAGCCGGCCAGTCTTTTAAAGCCTAAATTGCCCCGTTATGTGTCCTCCTTCTCGAGGCTATATTTGGTGGCTGTAACGGAGCCCGGCTGCGGCGGCAGCACGCCCCGACGCAGGGCTGCCTCTTCACCGCCCTCCTCCTGTCAGGCAGGCCGCGGCTGACTTGGTCAGGAGAAGAGCGGCGGCGTTCCCCTCTAGCTGCCAAGCCGGCCAGTCTTTTAAAGCCTAAATTGCCCCGTTATGTGTCCTCCTTCTCGAGGCTATATTTGGTGGCTGTAACGGAGCCCGGCTGCGGCGGCAGCACGCCCCGACGCAGGGCTGCCTCTTCACCGCCCTCCTCCTGTCAGGCAGGCCGCGGCTGACTTGGTCAGGAGAAGAGCGGCGGCGTCGGCGGCCTCGCCCCGCCTCAGCAAGTCCCATGTCGTCGCCGCCGCCGCCGCCGCCGCCACCTCTCTCTTTGCCCGGGCGACGGTTGGGAGCGTGTCCTCCCTGCAGCTGGGCTGAGAAGGGGCCGGCCTTGGCTTGCAGAGGGAGGCGCTCTCTGAGGGTTGCGGCGGGCCTGGGACAACGCGGCGAGCAGGAGCCGCCCCATCTTCCCGCTCGCCCGCCTTTTACTGGCCGTCTAGAGTTGGGCGGGCTCTTTCTCTCTCTCGGGCAACTGCCGTCGCCGCTTGGAGGCGAGGAGGAGAGAAGGAGGCTCCGGGTTGGAGGCGCCGGAGGCCTTTCCTTCCGAACAGTTCCGCTTTGTTCCGCGCTGGGCTGTGCCTCCAAAGGCAACGTAGGAGCCTCTCTTGCTTTAGAGTAGGCCGGCCTTCTTCACGGTTGACGGACAATCCAAGGAGTTGACGGACAGTCCAAGGGATATTTCATATATATTTAGGGTCGAATAGGGTGGTGGGAGGAATGAATATTCTCAGAATAATCAATTTTCCCACAAATGAGAGGATTATTTGCGTGTGTGTGTTTGCCTCAGTAGACAGACTTGCAAATTAAACCCATGTTTGCCTCTTAATTGCCAGTCATGAAACAAGGTAGTGCTAGAGTCGAAGGAAATAATAGGCCTTTAAATATGTGACCTTCTCTGCATGAGGAGCATTGTTTCCATTGTTAAGATTGCAATTTAGGCAAATGGTTTTTTAAGATATTCCAAAAAAATATGTAGAACCCGTCCTAAGGAACAATGAGAGCTTGGAAATAACATGTCAAGATTAGCACATAGTGTTACTGTATTCTACTGCAGTGTTTTGAATAATAAGGTGGAAATGTGTTACTTAGGTTTACAGTTACTAATATTTTGGCACATATAAAGGACTTTTTAAAGCCTAGGAAGGTTTTGCATAGAACAGGAGCTCTGATGTTCAGATGTGTGTGTGTGTGTGTGTGTGTGTGTGTGTGTGTGTGTGTGTGTGTGTGTGTGTGTGTGTGTGTGAGAGAGAGTGAGAGAGAGAGAGAAGTAATAATGCAAGAACTGTTTTTGTTTACAATAAGAAATTCATTTTTGGAACTCAGTAATAATTAACAAAACAAATTAATTTTTAAGATAGCGTTCCAAGTTCTAGAAGCAATTTGGCAAGGCATTATGGCTTACTGGTTTAGTCATGTATACCTGAAGCATGTAATAACAAAAAACACGTTATATTTTCCCTTCCAGATTTGCTTAACTACTATATATTTTTTCACTTCATTAACTATGAGCTGGGGTTATTGCTGGGCTGCCAGTGTTACTAATATGAAGTCTAAAAAGCAAGAACATACATCATACATTTATTTAGCACTCCTTTTTCACTCCACTCATCACCTTCCTATACCATTTCAATTTGTTTGTACTAGTGAGAGCAAATCTGCATTTGTCTTTAAACGTTGGTTTGGAGGCTCATGCCAGTTTGTATGCGCAGCACTACAGGTGCCGCGCATTCCCTTCCCCCGCCTCTCTGGCCAATGACCTACTCACCAGTCACAGCACACACCTCTTCTCCTCAGCTGTTCAACCAGTCCCTGGCAGGAGCATGGGTTTGCCTGCCCTGCCTCCCTGTCTGAGTGGGTGATCTGCCAAGGAAGCAGAGCAGGGAAGCCCATGCTCCTGCTGGAGACTGGTCGAACAACTGAAGAGGAGGAGGAGAGGAACATGGGCAAGCTGATGGGTGGGGGATCCAGCTGGGGAGATGGAGGAAGGAAATGCATGAACTGAGGTTTATGCCCATCTGTAATGACTTTTGTGTGGTATTCTGACAAGGGCAGGGCCAAAGAAATAATTTAGGCTTCTGTTATGAGCCTTGCAACTACAATGCTAGCATTATGAATTGCAGTTGGAACAAAAGAAATGGATTACCATTCAACTAAAAGTACTGTGGAGATTATATAATAAAATGTAGTTTTATTCAAGAGCATTAAAAATGAAACAAGCCTGTTAATGTTTAAAGTGCTACAATACTTTTGGATTGGTTCTGTTTTTGATATACATGCTGAAGCAGACTAAAACAACTACCTGCCTGAAAAATCTTATGCTGAGTGTCCAGTAATTGAAAAAATAATACTAAAGATGATTATAACAATGTTTTTATCTGTGGATCAGTTTAGAATGGCCTTTCCCAATCTGGGAATCATGACTCCCAAGGAGGTCACAAACTGTTTTGTGGGGTCACCTTATGTGTTGTAGCCCTTGTGTGACATGAGGGGCAGGCATGACAGCTTCCCTATCCAAGCACCATCTATTCACCCAGAGAAAAGTATGGACCCCAAACCAGAGGAGTCCAAAATAGAGAAAAGAGTGATGACCTCTACTGGAAAAAAGAGGAACCAACTGGGGAAGCAGAAAAGGTCAGAAAGACATTGGGAGAGGTGAAAAGGCAGGAGGAGAGAGTATATAAGGTTTGGGTAAAGAAGGTGGTGGTTGAGGTGGGAGAGACAGATGTGAAGACTAAGCATAAGATTCTACCACCATGGTGGGAATGGATTTGGCTTGAGAACCCATGGACTCATACATGGGAAAAACAGATGGTGCTGAAGGAGGGGGCTGAGAGAAGGAGATGGAAGGTAGTGCCTATAAAACCGTCTTATTGGGGGGAGAAGGAAGCTCAAGAGTGCGAAAGGAAGATTAGGGTGAAAAAGGCCAAAATAGGGAGAGAAGGATGGGAAAAGATTTGATGGCAGAACTACAAGGAGACTTCAAGATGCTGTGTGTTGTAGGAGTACCAGGAAACGGGAATCATTGCAGCTGGAATCGCACTGCACAGAGAGGAGGGAATACTGCTGCTGTCAGTTTCATTAAACTCACTATTGATGGACCTTTATGCTGAGGTTGGACTCAAACCATTAGACTTTACTGTTGGAAGCCTGCTTATGGACTATGACCTCAATCCATTCCTCGCATGGTTGAGTGAGGAAGAGAAAGCGTCTATTCTTGTTGGTGTTCAAAGTTTCTTAGTTATCAGAAATAAATGTTGAAGGTTTGAATTCAGTTTGTGTCCCCGTTACTTAATCCAAAGAAGGAGCCAGAACACAGCCTGAGACCAATAGGGAACCCTCACATTTAGTTAAATCATTTCTTCCTTGACCTTTCAGAGTGGAATATTAAAGTTAACGTGTATGTGTATTTAAAGAGCCCGTGTGGGGGAGAAAGAAGCCTCTGCTTTCTTAAAAGGAATGACTTTATGGCATTAAAAATGCCTTTTTATGCAAACATGGCTGGCGGCACAGGCTACTTGGCTATTATAAAAGGGGGTTGCAACTAAAAAAAGGCAGGGATCCTCTGGCTTAGGTTATATTCAGATCAGAATATAAAATAAAATGATAAGTTAGAATCTGCCTTGTAATGTCATTTCCATGTTGTGTAGGTGAATCGTGTAGCAATGCATATGATCCCATTACCTAGGACCGCAGGGTGAGATGGCCCTCTGACAAGTCTGTTGCTCCAACTTCCTACAGATTATCTTCAGTCCATATCTGCTCTAAAAGATGTGGCCACATGTGGCTTGCAAATAGAATGTTTATAAAACATGGTGATAAGAGCAATGGAAGCATTGTGTGGTTAATGATTTATACAGATAAGATAAAGAAAAGGGAGCAAAAAATATGACAAAGAACATACATGCATTTCTTGGAAATTGAGTTTGAAGATAGTTACATAAGAAATTACATCTGGGGCATGTTATTTTTGTAAAAGAATGAAATATAAACTTCTGTTCATAACTTTCCACTCTTATTTTATATATTGTTTATATGGCAGAGCTTCTGTTTTAATCATTGACTAAACTGCATGGGTCTAGGACTGGAGTAGTGCTAGTTCCAAAGAAATACAGAGGTGCTGAGAGAATGTTAAAAAAGATGGACATTACTTTGGCATGTGTGCATCCCAGACAATTGTTTGCCTCAATAATACTGATGGTTGAAAAACAAGGATATTTAATTGACCTCCTAACCTTGTGTCTGATTATTTTGCCCTGAAATCTTGCCCTACGTACCTTACAGGCTTTCTCTGTGTTTGCAGATACAGCTTTGGAGCAAAAGTTTATAAACTGCTAATTTTATTATTATCATCCACATACAGCAGTACGTTGTTGTCTTCTTAGAGCTTTGAAGGCTACTTTAAAGCATTTATTTGTTTGTTTGTTTATTTATATGCCACTAGAGATGGGTACAAAGTACTTCTTGCCGCTTTGTCATAAATTGCCTGTGACAGCAGCTGGTCACTAATGGGCAGCACTGTAGGAATTCCTGCCCCGCCTCCTCATCTAAGTGGGCACCTTTCTCATTATAGTTACATTCATAAGTCCCTGCGAAAGTAGTTAGTTAACATCACAGTTACAATTATAAAAAGTCGACTCTTCCATTTCTCAAAAATATTTGCTTTCAGTTAGTTTAAAAACAAAAACTGAATTATGCAATTTGTTGGCCTGTATTAGAATGTGCAGTCTTTGTCTGGCAACATCTCACGTTAGCATTCAAAAACAGGCCACAAGATAA